CAAAGTGTCCAGAGAATGAAAGACCGCAGGAGGCATGGCCTCCATGCCCCCAAGACCAGAAGCACTAACTGATGTCGTGAAGTGCTCTCACATTGGGTCCACAGCAATCCTGCATGGGGCTTCCAAGGAGTGGCTGATGGGTTTAAACCAGTGACTGTGTTTAGCAGTCCAGTGCTTATCCTACAGCACCACGCCAGAACTCCAGAAGTTTTTGGGGAAAGGGATGGCAGAGAGAGAGACATCTAATCAGAAAAACAAACTGTTGTTAAGTGCTGTTTAGTTGGTTCCAGTTCATAGCAAGTGGGGTTGGGTTCCGAGGATCAGCTAGTGGGGTCTGAACTGCTAACTTTGTGATTAGCAGTTCAGTGCTTTTCCTATAGTACCACAAAAGAACTAACGAGATGCAAAAAACAAAAAAGAAAAGAAAAAAACCTGTCCCAGGCTTCCTGGCACCCACAGAACTGAAACATACTGAGTTCACATCAAACCGGCGCTTCATCTCCACAGATGCCAGGGCAGGTCCCTCAGAGGAAGCAGGTGCGCACAGTGTCGGGGCCGTGGGGGACACTCTGGTGAGAAACCACCTGAATAAAAGCAGCACTTCAAACCAATCACAGAAGAAAGCTGTGATGACGGAGATGGTTCTATTTTTTTGTTGCTGTTCTTCTAAAAACACTGGAATGTAAAAGATAGCAGCGGTTGGCAAACGGCATAAAACAAATGGATATTTTCATGACGCAAACACTCTGGAAACAGCCACTGGCAAACTAACCAAAACCAAGTCAGCTGCCATCAATTGCACTCGGGCGCAGAGCAAGCCCGTGTCGTGTGTGCAGGGCAGAACTGCGCTCCCAGGGGGTCTCAAAGGCTGGGATCTTCTTGGAAGTGGAGCATCAGGCGTTTCTTCTAAGACACCTCTGCGTGGGTTCACACTGCCAACCTTTCTATTAGTAGTCGACTGCTTAGCCCCAGTGAAGCACTCACTACTAGTTGAGTAGTTAAACCCTCAGCTGCTGATAGGTTGGCAGTTCAAACCCACCAGCTGCTCCGCAGGAGAAAGAAGAGGCAGCCTGCTTCTGTAAAGATGGGAGCCGCTCTACTCTGTCCTACTGGTCACTGTGAGACAGAACCAACGGGGCCGCTTCTGAGGTGGTACAAGGGGCTTCAAAAAAGCCCACAGGTAAATTCCATTATCTTTCAATTCCACTTTTCTACAAACTTTTTGAAGTCCCTTGTACAGTGGATTAATAATTGAGTTGCTAACCAAAAGTTAGAGGAGAATACTGAAAGTGCCATGGACTGCCAAAAGAACCAATAGGTCCGTTTTGGAAGAAGGGCAGCCAGAGTGCTCCTTGGAGGCCAAGATGGCCAAACTTCATCTCTCATACTTTAGACATATTGTCAGGAGGGACCAGTCGCTGGAGAAGGAGATCATGCTTGGTAAGATGGAGGGTCAGAGAAAAAGAGGAAGACCCCCAATGAGATGGATTGGCCAAGTGGCAGCATCGATGGACTCAAGTGTGGCAACAGTAGTGAGGTTGGTCTAGGATCGGACAGTGTTTCATTCGGCTGTGCATAAGGTCGCTATGAGGCAGTACCGACTCGATGCCACCTAACAACAACAACAATCCAAAGTTTGGTGTTTTGAACCCACCAGGAGCTCCGAAACATCTGCTTCTATAAAGATGACAGCCTTGGACCCCTATGGGGCAGCTCTATACAGGGTCACTATGAACTGGAATCAACTCACGGCACTATACGATAAACACGGGACTACGAACCATGAGGTCGTTGGTTCAAACCCTAGACAATGTCACTGTGAGTTGAAACAGACTCCATGGCACGCAACAATAACAATTTCATTTCTACAATTGTCCTAAAAATACCTTTAGAGTCTTTAAACCCAGGGTGTGCACCGCGCTGTCTCCTGTTAGAAACAACAGTCCCCCCCTGCAGTTCCAAAGTCGAAATGAGTCATAATATCGACTTTGTACAGTGTTGCTGCTGTTGTTAAGTGTCGTCGAGACGATTCTGACTCGTAGCGACCCTGTATAGGGTTTCCAAGGACAGCTGGTGGGTTTGAACTCCCGACTTCGTGGCTTTCAGTCCAGTGCTGATCCTTGAGCACCACTCAGGAAGATTAAATAGAATTTGCGTAAATGCAGTACCTCAGCACCTGACGATGCCCAACAGGCACCACTGCCCTCCCATCGGCCTCAGCCCATGAGCAACCTGCAGCCTGGTCTGCGTGACTGCTGTACTTACTGTCCCAGTGGCGTCTGGTTTCAGTCACCCAAGCTGACATGTGTCCACCCCTGAGAGACCAGTCAGGTCCCCGGGAAGCCCCTGGCCTGGGAGCTACAGCAGGGCCAGTGTCCAGTCTCGACTCCACAGTCGGTCCTCTCCTCATGGTCCCTCAGGCTGGGCTACAATCCTACACCGGGTGGGCAGCAAGCTGAGTGTCAGTCTTTCAGGGGCCTTCTGTGTCCTCCAGTGTCCCCTAAAGAACAGGCCATGGTTCGGGACACTAGTACACTTAGTCTCCATTAAGTTTATGAGCATGCTCGTGGATGAACGATTAGGAAAAGACAAAATGGAGGGTCAAAGAAACAGAGGCAGAGTCTCCACGAGACGGACTGACACAAGGCCTCAGCACAACGGAGCTGTGGGGGTGGAGCCTTCAGGCTTGGTGGGCTCCTGGGGCAACGCAGTCAGGAGGCTGAAGATGGCAGAGAGGGCAGGCATGTGGGGGAAGAACTTGGCAGAGAGAGCAGGCGTGTGGGGGATGAACTCGCAGGAACTGATCCTACAGTCTCTGTGTTCCTCATGCCATGCACATGCAGGGGGTGGCTGGGAGAGACTGGCCAGAAAAGATGGCTCCATTCCAAAAGGCAGGCAGACACACAGACAAACCTAAAGCCCCAATTCCTAAGTGAGGGCCAGGCCTATGGGCCACTGTTTGCAGCTCCCTGGGCCTGAGGACCCTTTCCTTTTTGTTTACCTGCCTGGGTCAAGCCCACCTCCACCGCTGGGAGACCTCATGGGTCCCCACCAGGTAGAGTTGGCTGCAGGGAGCCTGTGTCCCTGAGACACAGGGTGTTGTAGGCACACATGCATTTTTCTGACTGCACCTTTGGGCCGTACTGAGCCTATGGATCCTTGCTGTGTGATCTGAGAAGAATGTGGCAACTTCTCTGTGCCTGAATGCCCATGTTGGTAAGATGCAGACAAGAACAGCTCCCACCAGGCAGAGACGATGACTTGGAGAGATGGAGTGGCTACAGCCTCTAGACTCAGGGAGGGAGAGGGGCTGTGTGCTGACAGCCGGGGTACAGACTTGCGGGGTGTGCCCTTTGGTTGTGTGATGATGCATGGAGGGGATTGTAATCATTGCAATGAAACAAAATACGATAGGATGAATGTAAAGCTGGTGTTCTCCCATGTAAACTATCACATAATTCACAATAAAAACTTAAAAAAAAAAAAAGAACAGCTCCTACCACCTAAAGTTGTTGAGAGGACGGGAGTTCATTTATGTAAATGTCTCATATGTTAGCGGTGAGGATTCTTCTTCCCCAGTGGACAGCCCAGTCCTCAGTCCTCTGTTTTCCAAGTGTCAGGTCAGGTGCTCAGCTCATAGAAAACTGA